TATAGTCTTTATTACTGAATCATTATAGTAAGTCTAATTTTTCCTGATTTATTTTTATTAATGTTTAACTTACAGTTGACATAGAATATTATATTAGTTTCAGGTGTACAACATAGTGCTTAGACATTTACAAAACTTACTATAGTAAGTTTCTAAGTAAGGTATTGTGAGTTCCCCAGCCTTGTTCTTCTTTTTGAAAATTATTTGGGCTATTCTACATTTTCACATTTGCACAGAAATCTTAGAGTTAGCTTTTCAATGTTAACAAAAAGCTTCCTGGGCTTTTTATTGAATCTATAGTTGGGAGACAACTGACATGCTAACAAAATTGTGTCTTCTGATTAACGAAAATAGAATGTGCTTCACCTATAGGTCTTTAGATTCTCTCAGCGATGTTTCTAGTTTTAACTAGTGTTCTGGTGCACGGATTTGTGCACATTGAAAGGAAATTAATTAGAAGAAATAATATTTTAATTTTGCTATTCACATCTTGCTAATGAAAAGAAAATAGGATTCTACCAAGTCTCCGATCTACCTACTCCAGGACTTCTGTGAGGATCAAATGAGATGAGGCATGGGAAAATGCTTCACAAACCTTTGGTTGACCTGTAAAATGTTTGCACCTGACTATAAAGCAAGTTGGGTTCTGCCGGGAGCCGGTCCATCCTTGCTGTTTCAAGGGACCTGGCATATATGGCATACTGTTCTTAATATATTTTGCTCACCTTCTTGGCACTATGTGTTTTAACCAAGGTCACCTCTCTGAGAAAGGGTGTTGCTCCAGGTAGGGATTTTCCCCTGAAGTTAGGGAGGGAATAAAACCTCTTAACTGCCAGGCGGGTAATTAATCACTTTAACTGCGAATAATCATGCTTAAGTACATAATCTTTACTGCCTGGAATGGAGATAAGAAACGCCCTAACTTTGGAATAGAGGTTGATAGGATTAGAATCAACTGGTATAAATACAGATGTAACAAGACAGAACTTAGAACACAGAACTTAGAAGTCATAACCTACACAGAACCTAGAGACAGAAGAACTTCGCTGGAGAGAACATGGCAAAAGATCCTGGACAGAACCTGGCTACAGAACTTGGTTAGAGAACCGAGACAGAACCTGGCTGAAGAACCCGGCTACAGAACCTGGCGACCGTACCTGGCTGGAGAACCTAGCAAGAGAACATGGACACAGAACTTGGCTGGAGATTGTGGCTAAAGATCCTGGCAAGGCTGCTGATCAACTGAACGCTGTCTCCGTGTCATTCCTTCTTCACTGACTCCGTCCACACCTTTGGGGACCCCTGGACCTGCTGGGGCAGGACCCCAGCAGGGCTCATGGGCTGAAGAAATTCCAAGGAGGCTAGTTGCTAGGGAGAGGAAGCCGGGAATTGCTACGTGATGTCATTACCCGGTGCCCACAGCCACTGTTTCTGGGCTGGGCTGGGCTGTGGGCTGCATTTTGTGCCATAGGGTCTTGGCAGCATTGGCTAAAATTTGGTGAAGTGTCGCTCCAGGGTGGTGGCAGGGCCTGTATCTAACTTGGGGGAAGCCAAGTGTTGGTTTGTTGGCACCAGATCCATAGTGCCATTTATTTTAAAACTAAAGGCCCGGTGCACAAAATTCATGCACTGTGTGTGTGTGTGTGTGAGGAGGGGGGAGGGCGGGTGTTCCTCAGCCCATCCTGCACCCTCTCCAATCTGGGACCCCTCAGGGGATGTCTGACTGCTGTCTGACTGACAGCAGTTGGACATCCCTCTCACAATCTTAGATCACTGGCTCCTAACTGCTCACCTGCCTGCCTGCCTGATTGTCCCTAACTTCCCCCCTTCTGGCCTGGTCGCCCCCAACTGCCCCCACTGCCAGCCTGGTTGCCTCATGCAGCCTGCTGTTCAGACATTTTGCCGTCCCTCACTAAACCCCCTGCTGGCCTGGTCGCCCCATGCAGCCTGCTGTTCGGTCGTCTGTCTGGTCATTTAGATCATGATGGTCTGGCTTTTTATATATTAGGATAAGCATATTTATATCATTTTTCATAATGAAAAAGGAAACAGCAACTAATAAAGAATGGGACATCCATATAATGGAATATTACACACAAAAAAGAACAGGAAATAGGTAGTAAGATGGAAACACCTTTATAATTGTTAAGTGAGAGAGAAAAGTATGTAAAACTGATTTTCACAGCATTTTCTTGAAAATAATATGCAAATAAAGGCTTAGGAAATTCCTCTAAGATTATGTGGTAATCTGGTTGCACCTGGGTAATTTGAGAAATTGTAAGGAAGATTATTCTTAATTTATACACTTCTGAACCAATTGATATTCTCAGATTTAACAGATATACTTGAAATACCAAAATCCAGATACATGTTTTATGACTCTCATTTTTTCTGTCTCCCTCCAGAATCAAGCAGATTTCCAATTTGCATTTTTGTCCGTTATTCCAGGTGGTAAATATAGATGCCCACATTCGGCTGTCCTTATGCATTCCCCACTTTGAAGTGCCCAGCTGGTGGTAATCAGGGACACTCTATAGAAATCAATGGCTGGACCAATCCTGCTGGAGTGCCTGCAGATGCACATATGTGAAAACAGACAATACCAGAGAGGGGAGTAGAATTTAGGGGTAGCACCTCCCACAGTGTTCTGGAGCGCACACAGGGTTAGGAACAGAAGCCTCTGTAAAATGAGTGAAGGAGAAATCAGGCTTTACAGGGGATTTTTTTATGAAATTGAGGGTTTGACTGAGACCAGTGTGCAGGCTTCTGTGGATATCGGTGTGCATTGTAGAGGTCAGTGGTAGTGTCTACTATTGCGAGGTGGGGGCTGATTTTGGTTCTGAACAGCTAAGAGTATCCCAGGAGAGAACTGTATGAAGGGCAAAAGCTGGGATCTGCTTAGAGTTTTTTGAGACATTTGGAAACAGACTTTGGGGCCTTGGTATTGAGAAGCCTCTGGTTGGTGAGATTTTATGTTTTCTCATGAAACAAAAGTTTAAAAAGTTTTGAAACTTAATTGGTCAAAATGGGCATAACTAAAAGTTTGTGCTTCTCCCCCTGGACTGATTGCTTAGGGACAGCATGAACCTGGGCTTAATAAGAACAGGTATCTCAGTGACTAGTCCCCTTGGGAAGGAAGTGAGTAGGAGGAAATAGGGGGAGAGAGAGACCCTCAGTTTCCCACAGCACTGTTATTTTGGGGCTTTTCCCTAAGCTCTTATCTGAGGACAGTTTCTTTTTTCATCATGAGTGAAGACAGCAGCATGCTGCTCTGGCTCCTGTGCATGGCTGATCAGTAGCCAGATAGAAGTTAGCTTTGGCTGAGCCCTGGAGAGCATTAGAAATGGTGGTGAAGCCTTTCCATAGAGGTGAGTGTCTTCAGGTTTCTCCTTTATGGAGAAAAAGGTAAGGTGGGATGTTCTGGGTCTGGTTTCTGTCTAACACAGGGACACCTAAAGCATGAGGAGTGGGCTAGGAGAGCATCAAATTCAGGCTTCTCTGAACTGATGCTAAGGATAGACACAGCTCCCTGACTTCTCTCAGGATCTCTCTCTCATCTCTCTTCATTTGTTAGTTATGCATAGATTGTGGTAAAGCAGGCCGCTGAGCTCTTCCATTAGTTCTGTCCTTGAGGCATGTTTGCCCATCAGTAAAAGATCCACAGTGGTATTGGGAGGTTGCATCAGAATGGGAAGGGAGGAAAGATAAATGGTAATGTAAGGCAGGAAGGGAGACCAAGAAGAGAGGCATTGAGGGATATAAGACCTGTTAGCCCTGGACAAGACCAGAACCTACTTAGTCATATATCATATGTCCATATTCTCATTATCAACAAAATATTTTAGCATTACTGATTTGGCTCATGAATACTATATATATGTCTTTGTCCTAATGGAATTATATTCTAATGTTATAGATGAACACTGAATGAATGAAAATAGGTTTTCTGACCCTCTTTTCTTCCTTGCTTTATTTTTATAGCATGATTAATAAACTAAAACTTTATATATAAATTTTACATACTTATTTTGTTTATCGTGTAGCCTTTAAATCCTATATGAATAGAAACTATTTCTCAGGAGGGCAGGATCTTTGTTTGCTCCAGCATTTTTTCATATGAATTAAGGAATGAAATAAATAATGAATTCTAACATAATATCAGGGAGTAAGTTCTGTGAAGAAAACTAGAGTTCAGACTTGATCAAGTCCTTCCTATCACAAAAAAGGGGTTAGGCGAATAGGAAAGAGCCCTCTAAGGAGATGACATATGAATACTGGGATGGGTGAAGTGAGGGGTAGAGATCTATTTTTATCAGTGCCAAGTGCCATATTTCTTTTCTTCCAAGACTTTGGAAAGAAAATGGAATGAGAGAAAAGTGAATCAGCTCTGGGAAATTATCCCAGTCTCCAGAGGTCCCATTTGGAGATCTTGCTGCTCTGTAATATAGAAGTTATAAGATCTGGGGAAAAGCATAGATGTTTTCTTAGACCCCCTGTTTCTTTTCTGCTGGTTGCAAGATGGGTCTGGGTAGTACCAGTGTGGATGAGGGCTGGGGTTCAATGTCTTTCACATCACCTGGAATGCCATTATATGGTCTGATACAATTCACCTAAGAAGAAATAGGACAATCCCAGCACCTTTAGGGGCTGGTGATTCAGTTTCAAAACTAAGCAGTTTAAAATGTCATAGCTTCTGTCCCCTGGAGAAGGCACTTCCAGTGGGGAAAAAAGATAAGGAAGGTGTGTGTTTTTTTTTCACACTAATACAGAAGAAGCTGCCTTCAGCCATTCCTGACAGTGAGATTTGAAGAGGTAATATTTGGGTCTGTCTATATGCAGAGCATAGTAGTAGTAGCAACTCACCTGATCATCAGGAGAAAATAGTTTCTCATCCTAAACTGTCTCTCTTCTCTTTTGAGAGCAGGAGAGCAGGACCATGTGGAGCAGTGCCACCTGTCTTTTGGTATGTGAGTTTCACAAGGAGCAGAAACAAGGACTAAATGATGAGCAATCACTCAAGAGCCACTGAATTTTGTCTCCTTGGCTTCCCTGGCTCTGAGGAACTACACCATATCCTCTTTGCTACCTTCTTCCTCTTCTACTCAGTGACATTAATGGGAAACACGGTCATCATTGTGATTGTTTGTGTTGATAAACGTCTACAGTCCCCCATGTATTTCTTCCTTGGTCACCTCTCTGCCTTGGAGATCCTGACCACATCCATTATCATCCCTGTCATGCTTCGGGGGTTGCTGCTCCCTGGGATGCAGATAATATCTCTAGCTGGATGTGCCACCCAGCTCTTCTTGAACCTTGCGGTGGGGACCACAGAGTTTGCACTAATGGGAGTGATGGCTGTGGACCGTTATGTGGCTGTGTGTAACCCTTTGAGATACAACATCATTATGAACAGTCACACCTGCATCTGGGTGGTAATTGTGTCATGGGTGTTTGGGTTCCTTTCTGAAATCTGGCCAGTTTATGCCACGTTTCAGCTGACCTTCTGCAAATCGAATGTCTTAGACCATTTTTATTGTGACCGAGGGCAACTTTTCAAACTATCCTGTGATGACAGCCTTTTCACAGAGTTTATTCTTTTTTTAATGGCCATTTTCATTATCATTGGTTCTCTGGTACCAACAATTGTCTCCTACACTTACATCATCTCCACCATCCTCAAGATCCCCACTGCCTCTGGCCGGAGGAAAGCCTTCTCCACATGTGCCTCCCACTTCACCATTGTTGTGCTTGGATATGGCAGCTGCCTGTTCCTCTATGTGAAACCCAATCAAAGGCAGGCAGCCCAGTACAATAAGATAGTTTCCCTGCTGATTTCTGTGGTAACTCCTTTCCTGAACCCTTTCATCTTCACTCTCCGGAATGACAAAGTCAAAGAGGCCCTTAGAGATAGTGTGAAACGCTCCTGTCAACTTTTCAAGTATTAACTGTTTGTCAGTTTTGGGTGGGGGTATGATCCCTACTGGGGATTATTTACTAACTTAGGAAACCCTAACTGCACTATCACCATTACCATTATTACAAAAGTCAAGTGTACCATTCCTGATCATGCTATGGAAGCAGGTAAGTCAGGTAAGAATAAAACCCATGCTGTGCCCTAGAATGTCATAGCTTCAGTTTCTACTTATTTCTACTGATGAACTTCTTGTGGTGTGGGAGGAACTAGAGAAAGAAAATATGTAATTTTGTGTAGAGTTCTATTAGACCAATTCATTTGCTTATAATTCATTTCTCAAAATGAATTTCTGGGCAGAGGTAGGAAGTGATGTGGGAGGTGAGGTGAGAGGTGCTCACTTTGTTTCTTCATCAAATGTTGCTAGTTGCTTGTCCTATAATTTTATGCAATTTGTTGAGAAGATGAACATATGCATTTTGAATATCCCCTGGTTCTCTTTTTCTGGTTGAATATATTATTATCCTGGCCCCACTGATACTGCAACGTACATATAGTGTACATACTTTTTTCTACAGAAGCAGTGGAGGGTAGTGACATGGAGTTTCTAATGCTTCTCATTCTGAGAATCGTTGTGCTACAAAGAAGATGCAAATATTTGGGTATAAAAATGAGGGAAAGTTCCTTTTACTAAACTTCAGGGAAAGTTCCTATTGCTCAAACCATTCCTCTTTGTGGCATGTATGGGGATAGGCACAAAAGGAGAGGCTCATTGTCCTCATATATAGTTTCTTTGGTTCTTCAACATGTCACACATGCCTCTTCTCTCTGCCTTTCCTGCCCTTTGTTTATCCACTAACTTTTCTGTTTCTTCTTCCTCTCTCCCTTTGTCTTCCAATCTTCTTCTTTTTTAAAAAATATATTTTATTGATTTTTTACAGAGAGGAAGGGAGAGAGAGATAGAGAGTTAGAAACACCGATGAGAGAGAAACATCGATCAGCTGCCTCCTGCACATCTCCCACTGGGGATGTGCCCGCAACCCAGGTACATGCCCTTGACCGGAATCGAACCTGGGACCCTTCAGTCCACAGGCCGACGCTCTATCCACTGAGCCAAACCGGTTTCGGCTGTCTTCCAATCTTCATGTTTCTTTTATTCTTTCCTCTTCCTCCTATTTCACCATGAGCAAAGGCTCTGATCTCCTCCTGATAATGCGTTCTGATTCCTCCTCTCCTTCTTTATCAACATTTCTATCCCTCTCCTGTAACTCCAGTGATGCAATGTTCCAAACTACCTCTCTGAATTCCCTGGTCAAATTTTCTCAGAAGAACCTAAGGAGAGTAGAAAATTCCTGTAGCTGAGTGTAGAATATGAGAGGTGAGAAGGATTTGGGGCCAAGGGGCAAACATCTATCGCTTGTGTCAAAGCCCAGGTTTTTCTATTTGTTCTTTGATTCTGAATGAAGTAAGGTTACTATCTGTATCTGTCTGCCATAACAAAACCCATTGACTGGATGCATTAAAAAACAGAAATGTATTTATCACAGTTCTGAAGTCTGGGAAGTTGAAGATCAAGGTTCTGACCGATTCAGTTTCTCATGCATGTTCTCTTTGTGACCACCCTCTCTGTGTGTTCTCACTTGGCTTTTCCTTAGTGTGTGGATGTCGAGAGGGAGAGAGGGAGAGAGAGAGAGAGAGAGAGAGAGAGAGGGAGAAAGAGAGAGAGAGAGAGAGAGAGAGAGAGAGAACCATCTCTGGTAGCTCTTCTTAAAGGGACACTAATCTTATCCAATCAGGACCCCACTCTTATGACTCATTTAACCTTAATTACTTTCTTAGAGGTTCCATCTCCAAATACAGCTGCACTGGGTTTCACAGCTTCAACATATAAATTTTGAAGGGGACACAGACATTTAGTTAATAACACTGTCATTCTGCCCCTGCCCTGCAATCCAAGCTTATACTCAACCAGAATGTCCACTTCATCTTCACACTGGGTGCTGGGAGACAGATGTGTCTGTCCTCTAGGGGCTCTCATTTCCCCAGCTGCAGGTGTCTCCGATACAAAAATGAAATAATATCCTCACACATACCCCCTCTACTGTACACACACCTTGAAACCCCATAGCTTCTTGTTCTATTTATTTATTTTTCTCTCTGCTCCTCACAACTGAACACAGACACAGTCAGATATTAAAAAGAAAATACTAATTGTAGGCTTTTATTTGAACTCCTTATTCACATGTAATTAGCATACTGCAAAACAAGTCTTATGTATAATTTGAGGTATGTCAGATTGAATGTGTTGCAACTTTCACTTAATTTAAACATTGGCCACTGCTAACATTCACTTTGTTATATGGTTTTTATAATAACAAAAACAAAACTGGAGACAATACTGCTTCTAACCAGGAACGTTTTAAAAGTCTCTCTCTGTAAAAATTACTTGATAAAAGTAAAATGCTTACCAAGATAGTACCTGATACATATCTTTGACAGGACATTTACTTTTTCTCTTTTATTCTAACACGTATTTCTCTATATTCATACTTAAGGAGATATAAATATTGTTCTATGTCATTACAATTAAATTGTTTCATTTCCTGCTTTATACTAATGTTTATTATCAGAAGATAAAGAATAAGACTAGAGTGGTATTTAAATAAAACTCCTTTGCCTTCTGTAAACCACCTCATATATTTATTTTTTGTGCCTAATTAAGATAGCCCAATTTCCTATTAATATTGATAATAATTCTTAAAACTTAACAGAAATACTATTTGACTCAGGATCCTTTGACTCCAAAGTTTGATCTTAACCTCTCTGTTCTTTTGTTCCATAAACATCAGCATTTCTTTCAGTAGACACTGAAAGTAGCTTTTATATTATTTGATTGATTTTTATGTATTAAATAGCTACCGAGTGCATGTAAGAAACTTTGCTAAATGCTTTGGGAGCATATAGATAGAAGGGGATAATTATTGACTGTATACTAAGTTTCTTAGCATTTCTGTATATTTTTATTCAATCCCAGCAATAAACTGTGAGGTTATTGAGTAGTTACTTTAGAAGATAAGAAAATAGAAGTTCAGAGAAGTTAAGTATTTTGCCAAAGGTTACTCAGCCGTCAACCATATAGCACTCATCAGATTGGAAAAAGTACAACTCTGGGAATACTAGGTGTTGACATGAATGCAGGAGAACAGAAGTTTTTATTAATTTTTCTGAAGGGAATCTTATATAATAAAAACCTATTATGCAAATTGACCAAATGGCAGAACCACTGGTCGCTATGACGCTCACTGACTACCACGGGGCAGACACTTAACGCAACAGCTGCCTCCAGGTGGTAAGTGCGCACCCACAGGGGGAGTGCTGCTCAACCAGAAGCCGGGCTCATGACTGATGAGCACAATGGTGGTGGCATGAGCCTCTCCTGCCTCTGCTTCTGGTGGGCGGTAAGGAGCTAGGGGTCCTGGACTGCGAGAGTCCTGGGCTGAGAGAGGGCGCAGGATGGGCTGAGGGGACCCCCCACCCCCCGCCCCCCATGCACGGATATCATGCACCAGTCCTCTAGTTAATCTTATAAATGACCCACTGGCCTTATCTCCCTGGAACAAACTCCTCTTTCTTTACTCAACCCAGACCAGCCCAATGTGTCCTGCCTGGTCCTCCCTTGCCCAGCTAAGCAGGGAGTTCTGTAGGGCAAGAGATGTAGTGTGGTCAACCAAATATTACTCCTGGAACAATCAGCATTTAGTACACCTTTATAAATGCATGCAGAATTATCTGTATGTGTGGGAAGATCTGCATGGGAAGGGGGTGTTAATGTGTCTCACTTCACCTGAGGCACTAAGAGTAGAAAGGACTGTAGAATTAGGGGCAGCTATTGCAACAATCTGATCTCATTTTGGTTGCAGTGGGGGGAGGCAGCGGGAGTGTTGATGTAGGAGGGAGCAAGAGGCTGATGGGAAGTATAGCCTTCCAATTAGATGAGAAAAGGAGAGGTCAATTCAGAACCAGTTAATGACCTTAAAGCTGACCTTGGGTTCACCCCTGCTTATCCTCTGATGGCATCCAACCTTAAGACACAGGCTAAGACCCAACCTCTTAAACAGCCTTCATCCAGCTGGTAAGCCTTATAGGATCTGGACCCAATCCATAAAATCACTGAAATTTAGCTGGGAATAGGCTGCCTAGAATAAAAGAATTACATTTCTGCCTTAGCTGGTTTGGCTCAGTAGATAGAGCGTCAGCCTTTGGACTGAAGAGTCCTGGGTTTGATTCCAGTCAAGGGCACATGCCCAAGGTTTGGGTTCGATCCCCAGTCGGGGGCGTGCAGGAGGCAGCCGATCAATGATTCTTTCTCATCATTGTGTTTCTATCTCTCTTTCACTCTTCCTTTCTCTCTGAATCAATAATCTATACTAATAAAAGGGTAATATGCTAACTAGAGTGGACATCTTCTGGACGACTTTCTGGATGTCCTTTCAAACAAAGCCGCAGTGGCTGCAAGGGCCGGGGGTGGCTGCGAGGGCTGCAGGCAGCTGCGAAGAGCCGAGGCGCAGCTGTGAAGGGCCCAAGCTCAGGCCAGCAGTTTCAGCAGCAGTGGGGTACTGGGGGTGGCTCCTTTCCCTGATCCTCCAGGTTGCCTCCCGCAGAGGGAGGCCAGACTGCGACTTAGGCTGGTGGCCAAGGCAGGGGTGGTTAGGGGCGATCAGGCCGGCAGGGGAGCAAGTTAGAGTTGATCCGGTTGACAGGGAGGCAAGTTAGGGGCAATCAGGCTGGCAGGGGGGCAAGGTAGGAATGATCAGGCCAGCAGGAGGACAAGGTAGGGGCAATCAGGCCAGCAGGCAGATGCAGTTAGGGGTGATCAGGCAGGCAGGCAGAGGGGTTAAGGGGAGATCAGACAGGCAGGCAGGTGAGTGGTTAGGAGCCAGTGGTCCCGGATTGTGAGAGGGATGTCTGACTGCCAGTTTAGGCCTGATCCCACACCAGCAATTGGACATCCCTGAAGGGATCCCAGATTGGAGA